ATCTTCAGATATTCAGCATCAGCTGTAAATTGGAAAGTCACTGACCTAGATAAAATGGATTTGGAGATAAGAAAATATTTAAGAAAGGCAAAATACATTGTTGAAACTCCAAAGATAGGTTGTATGTCACTCTAGAAGAAATGAAGGATTAATAAATATAAAGGGACGAATATGTTATTGAATTAGTAAGAACAGTGATGTACTACTGTACCAGAGAAAGTGAAATAGGAAATAACATAATAGATAAATGGTACAGTAAGAAGGGAATATGGAATAGAATTAAAAAACACAAATTCATAAAATAAATGAAACAAAAATAGAAGAAATAATAAATGAAATTGTTGAAAAGAAAAAAGAAAAAGAAGTAGTAGTAGAAATAAAGAAATTAATGACAAATACATCAAAAAATGGAAGTGTCATCAAATAAGTGATATTTTAGAAGATGGTTCGAGTCAAAAGGAGTAGATAAAACTACTACAGTGAAAGCATGGAAGTCCATCAATATTAAGAAAAATGCATTCCTACAATTAACTAAAATGCAAGATGGAGCAATATTTTGTGGGTATAAGAAAGCAAAAATAATGAAAAATGAAAGATTGAAATACTGCACACTTTGTAAAAACAAGATAGCCACAGTAGAACACATTCTACTATCTTGTATTTATCATAAAAAATCACAAATGGAAAACCATGACAATATTGGCATAATAATATTGATTAATAAGAAAATACACTGGAAATAAACAATATAAAAATAAAATATGAAACAATATTCAAATATAAAGACAGCACAATGATATGGAACAAACAAATAATGCATAAAAGTGTTGGACAATATCACAAAATACCAGACATATATATTTAATAGATAAAAAGAACAAAACTAGTCTAATATTTAATATGACTATTGTTGAATATTACAATATTAATTGAGTGTAAATGAAGAAAAGAAATAAGTATAATTAATTAAAGAATATTCTAATGAAAATAGAAAAATTAAAAGATGTCAAAATAATTCCAGTAATAATTTCAATCAATGGATTAATAAATAAATAAAGTAATAAATTAATTAAAGAATTAAAAATTGAAATTGACATCGAGAAAGAGGTAAAAACTATGTCATAAAAAACATGATGGATATCATGGAATACTGCTTCTATCACAACCAAACATATCCTGTAGAAATACTAGAAGAAGAACTCAGAGATTTGATTAGTCTCCGCTGATTCAAGAACAATAGAAACTATTTCTATTAATACTTAATCAATTGCTTATTATTAATTTACTTTTACAATAACAAAAAATAATCCTAAAAAAATGATATTCAAAATTCCAAACATAGTTACTTTTCTAAACTATTTATTTAAGTAAAAGAACTTGAAAATTAGAATATGCGAATAATACTGTTAGTAGCCATTATTGCACTTAGTTATGCTAAAGTATTAGATGCAGAGACATTAGTAAAACTTCAAAAATTATCACTTGGATGTCATTTAAATGGAGTAGTATATTATACAACAAGTCAATGGTTTGAAGAAGAAAATAAAACAAAACATTCATTAAAGAAATTAACATTAACTGAAACTGAACCAGTTGATTTAATTCCATATAGTGAAGAATCATTTTCTAATTTTGTTTGTCTTAATGAAGGTGTTTATTTGCTTCATAATGGACAGATTGGAAAAATAGAGAATGACAAGATTGTAGACATTACTTCTACACCTATTTCTATTGATACATTTAAAATGATTTCTGTTGGTGGTAAATTAAGAGGACTTGCATCAAAGAATGTTTTCCCAGGAATGACTCTTGAAGAATCAGCAAATAAATTTATTGAATTAGAAAAACAAAATTATAGAGTATATGATCAATTGATGATAAGAAGATGGGACACTTATTGGGATGGACAATTCCAACAATTATTTACTTTTAAAGAAGAAGA